CTAAGGGTTCAGACTGAGGATAAAATTTTCGTCAACCTACTTATGGCAAAAACAAGGGTAGCGCCGGTCAAAACAATATCTTTGCCCCGATTGGAGTTGTGTGGTGCAGTCTTACTGGCCGAAACAATTGAAAACCTTAGCCTTGCTCATTTGAAGGTGAATTTGTGGACGGATTCAACGATAGTTTTAGCTTGGATTCGAAAACCTCCGCGTTCGTGGTCAACATTTGTTGCCCACAGGATAACAAAGCTAGTAGACAAGGTAGGAAACAAAAATTGGCGCCACGTGGATTCGGCCTCAAACCCAGCGGATCTGGCCAGCAGAGGACTCTCGGCGAGTGATCTAGTCAACAACTCCTTGTGGTGGCAGGGTCCTTCTTGGTTACAAGAAGACTATTCGAGATGGCCAGCACAAGAATCGGACTTTGACACAACCATTGAAGGAAAAAGGGTGCATGTTCATGCAACAACAAAAGTAAAAGACTTTCACGACATTCTCGATCGATTTTCTGATTTGTCACGGGCTTTGAGAGTTATATCTTATATTATGAGATTCTATCAAAGAATCAATCCCAAAACTAAATCTTCCTTTAAAGCGGAGTCTCGTTTAATTCCGGCCAACGAAATTAAAACAACGACCCAACGCTTAATAACAATTTGTCAAAAACAATATTATAGCGAAGAATATATATGGTTAAAATCTGGAAAATCCATCGACGGAAAAAGTGAAATCCTGCCTCTTAACCCGTTCATCGACAAAGATGAGATTCTGAGGGCTGGTGGTCGTCTGAGCGCATCTTGCGATCTGTACTACAATGAACGTCATCCTATCATTCTTCCGTATGGTTGTAGGTTGTCCCGTCTCTTTGTCCAGTTTATCCATACAATTTCCGTGCACGGAGAAAACCAGCTGATGCTGCGACTCATCCGATCGCAGTATTGGATTCCCAGGGTGAAAAACTTGATACGGTCCGTCATACATAACTGCAAGGTCTGCACGATTCACAAGAAACGGCCGTAAACTCAACTTATGGGAATCATTCCCAAAGAACGCACAACCTTTTCCCGTGCATTCACAAACACGGGGGGTGGATTTCGCCGGCCCGTTCGACATCAAGTCCTACCGGGGCAGAGGATGTCGCATGTCAAAAGGCCACGTGTGTCTTTTCGTCTGCTTCTCGACGAAAGCCATTCACCTTGAAGCTACCAGCGACCTTAGCACGGCGTCCTTTCTAGCCGCTTTCGCAAGATTTGTTGCTAGACGAGGATGTCCAAAAAATGTTTACTCCAACAATGGTACTAACTTTGTCGGAGCCTCACGATCTTTACGAGCGGAATTTAAAGCATTTTTAGCTGAGACACGCAATAGCACCCTCACTAAATACAGCCATCAAACCTTAGAGTGGCATTTCATACCCGCTGCGGCCCCTCACATGGGCGGTTTGTGGGAAGCTGGGGTGAAAAGTTTCAAAACCCACTTTAAAAAGGTTGCATCCGACCACAAATATACCTTTCAAGAGTTCAGCACACTCTTATGCCGTATTGAGTCTTGTTTCAACTCACGACCACTAAGCCCCTCTTCAAACGAACCGTCTGACCTGGAGCCGCTTACCCCAGGTCATTTCCTAGTCGGCGGCCATCTTCTTGCCCCACCTGAAATCGATGTAAACTAAAGTCCTGCCTCAATCGTAAATCGATGGCAGAAACTGAAGGCCCTACCCCAGACATTCTGTAGGAGATGGAAAATGGAATACCTCGCCGAAATGCAGAAACGCATCAAGTGGAAACAGTCACAAACCAACTTAAAGCTAGGAGACCTTGTCGTCGTTAAAGAGGAAAACCTGTCACCAAACGAATGGAGATTGGGGAGAATAGTCAAGCTACACCCAGGTTCCGACAACCGAGTAAGAGTAGTCGACATCGAAACAGCTAAGGGAGAAATCAGAAGGCCAATTGCAAAATTGGTCCCACTTCGGCCCTACAATGAGGACAGCACAACCTCGCAGTAAACTTCTTACCTACTCCACTTCACAAAAAAAACCCATCTATTCCACTTCTCTTCACCCTGCATCATCCCAAATCTCAAATCGCGAATAATGTAGCTACAGAGTTTCTAAATACAGATAATTTAGAAAGCGCTTGGTTAAACATGCAACCGGCGATTATATCAGTGAGATATATTAAACCAAAAAAAGGGTGATGGTTCTTACCCAGGAGCCCTGGGTCGATCTGGTAACACGGAACCGACCATCTCAGACCCTTTAACAGGTGAATGAAATTAATTAAATTAATTATTTGAGAAATTTTGTATTGGAGTATTTAATGAACTTCGTATTAGACCTCTGCAGGAGTTGATTCAAACTTCTAGCCAAACAGAGTACAGTAGATTTGAATTTTCTATTTTTATATACCTAACAATCTGCGTTTTGAATTTTTTAAGTTATGAATATTCATTTTGTTTTAAATTTTCTGCCTTCAAATGGAAGAATGTGAATGAAGGAATGAAAACCATTCAAACTCATTTTGGTTATAGTTTTTGCTACAAACAAGTGTTTTCGTATTTTAATAGGAACGCAGCATTACATACATACATGCATATGTACGTTCGTACAATGAAAAAAAATGTATATATTTTTGGATATTCATAAACAAAATTCGTCATTTATTTCAATTCAATTTATCTTCACATTGTTTGAATATTGTTATGACGACACCCATATCAGAACAGTATTCACTCAAACTCAAAAATTTTAAGGTAAACTCATTCAGTGGGTTTTTTATATGAATAATTCATATGCCGTTTTGAATGAATTCATGCAGCCCTCTCCTTCGTATGCATGAAAAATTGTGTTGTAGGGATTCAAATTATTAAAAATCAATGTATTTGCTCGACGTTCGAATTTATTCTGTTTTCTATCAATTCAAATATTTTCATTCAACCGACGTTAAGATAATTGTTCTTATTTTCTAATTTGCTGCTTAATTGCTTAACTTTTTCTACAATTCCTATCAAACGAAGGCAAAAACTAGAAATGAAGTTTCATGAACTTTGTGGTAGTTTAAATCCAAGAATGATAGAATACAAGATTGCGCCAATCGAGCTGAGAGTAACTGGCCGTGACGTCAATAAATACAAGAATGAGAGAGCAAGACGAACTCGACCAGAAAAATAGGAAGCATCGAACAAAAGGCAGTATTGCCAAGTTTTCAATTTGAAAAAGCACCAAATATTTATTGGTGTATTTTATGGACTTTATATGCATACATAATTATATTGTAAGGATGCCGATTCAAATTAATAAAAATCAATGTTTCTTGCACGACGGTCGATTTCTTCTGGCTTGATTGAAGGTGCTGCCACATATTTTGTTGTCGCTTATGATTGCTATAAATTTTGCTTCCATTTTTTTAAGATTTTATAATTTGGTGTCTTCAAACTAAAAACAAAAGCACCAAAAACGCACCAAGCACCAAACTCAAAAATGTTCGGGTTTTGAATACCCACTAAATTTGGTGCGAAAAGCATGAAGTTGGCAACAGTGAATGTAAACAAAAGTATTTTATGACGTCAGCGATTGGGTGGATGCTGTCAAATCGACGATGAGAGGGTTAGCGGTCCGCGAATGGCCTGACCTTTATTTTCTGGATCGTGGTTTAAATCTACACTGCACTCTCTTATGATCTTGTGAACTAAAGGAACATAAAGAACTTTTCTTTCCGACCGCTTAACACCTGACACCTGACGGAAATGGATTTTCCTTTTTTAATGTGTCTTATTGGAGCGTATTATCCACTGGCGCATATTGGGAAAAATATTTTTGTGTCAAAAAAACCTGTCTACTCTTCAAATCCCACCCGATTTTGATTATTCTCTATATCGTCGGTAGACATATGCTCGCTCGCTCATGATTGTCATTGTGACACAATTTTGTTTTGATTTGTGTGAAGTTTCTAACACAACTTACGATTGCTATAAATTTTGACCCAGATTTGGTGTCTTCAAACCAAAAACAAAAGCACCCAGATATTGTTTACTTTTCTATAGATATCGTTATTGGCGCTTTTGTGGAGACTGTAAACTTTTCGCTGTATTTTAAGATAAAAAACAATAACTATTATTTACAAGGTTCATGGAAATTCTACTCCCAATACAAACAAAAGAAGTTTCTGCAATCATAATTTAAATTAAAAAGCCGAAGAGACTTTTACGGCTGAAGGTCAGTCAAGGAAAACAAATTTTCATACAAAAAAAAAACACCCAAAAAACTCACAGTAAACATTTTTTACATCTATTTCTTAACCCATTAGCTATGCAGTTCTCAAGACATTTCTTACATTTTGTGCTACTCTGCAATTTCTTGCGATTTAAAAAAAATAAATACTGCCAAGGGTTCAGTACAACTATGTTCACATTAATATTATCTCAATCAAAGCTCGTTTTCAATTACCCCGTTTACACAGGCAAATCTAAGATTATTAGCCGTCAAATTTGTTGTGCTTGTTATTCTCACATCCCATGGAAAAGTTAGGTTTCTTCTCTGTGCCACCGTGATCACGTTTTTATGCTGTAATAAGCAATATAAATATATTTTAACTTAACATTTTATTAAAAATACCTTCCGAAACCTCTTTTCCTTGCTAGCGTACATTTTTGTTGGCATTTCTCCTCTTTTTTTGCAAAAACAATCGATAAAACTAGGAGGGACACCGAAAAAGTTATCGGTTTAATCTGAGATTATTTTATAATTACAGATTAACAAGGGACGCATTTTATATGGCTAATCTCTTGTTATAATTACAGATTAGAGTGTTAAGCTCGAAAATGAGGATAATCTACTTATATGTGAACCTAGTATAAGTAAAATATGAAATATAGAGTCAAATCTTTTGCGCAAATACCTGTGCAGTTGAAGAGGTTTACAATGCGGCAATGTCAATCCAAGTATGGCCTCGAGAAATATTTCCGAGAAGCAATCCAAGTCAAGTAGTTGCCCCTGGAGCTCATTCAAATGATTTAGTCATTGCCGGAGTTTCCTTTGGTCGATAGCTTAGAATAATCGGCACAACTTTTTCAATATTATTTTCAGCCATATAGAATTTAGCCAATACATCCAGTAGTGCTGGTACCTGCATTAGCACATCAAAACATTTCACCTGCTCATTACGCGACCAATAATATCGCAGCAATACTGCACCCAATTCGTGAAAGACGCAAGTATTGTCGAAACGCAAAGGGAAGGCACAATTATCACAACGCACAATATCCGTTGAGGTGTTTAGAAGCACAAAACCCTCTGCTATAAAGTCGCGCGTATAATCGTCCATTTCCCAAATAAGCTCTGTGTTCAGGTAATTAAAGTACATCTCGTAACAGTTTTTGCGTGATTGTTCCACACTGTCGCCATGCTCTTGCATTACCTTTTCCAACTTGCCTAGCAGATCAATCAACTCACTCGCCGAGTATTCGTCGAATAGTGAGCGATATCGTTCTACAAAATTAATATTGCTTATTTTAGCACTTTTGCAAATTAAATATAAATT